GAATAAACGTGGATTACATATCAATGTCAATGTATATAGAATAGTTAGTGATTAAGAACGTGGTCTAGTGGTCAAGTGCTCGGGCGCGAAATCAGTAGGTCCTGAGTTCGAATCTCGCAAGGGGCGAGGTCATGGATGCGCACTGCTGAGAAGTCCCACAAAAGGACGAAACGGCCGTCCAGTGCCTCCAGGTTTTCCATGGTGGTCTAGCTTCAACTGACTCATGATCTTAACCATTGAAATTACTACAATCTCCACAAAAACCCAAGAACGTGTTGCTGAAAATTACTCTATAAAAAATGTTGAAGTGAGATAGATCATTAGATTGTTTATTCAAGGTCTTTTATTATTGAAATATAGGTACTATAATACTAAATGGAGCTGGTTTTTTTATAATGAAGGTAATAGTATGTCATAAATCATTTGGTCAGTTTATTTATTATTCTGCCAAAAAACCATAAAACCACTGAGATTATTCAATAAAGTTCTGTAGCAAAATCAGTTGACAAATTCAGGAAAAGATGGTTAGTTAAATAGTACTTCAAACATAACTTCATTTTTGAATGAGAAATTGTCAACATAAAATACGTTTTAGATACCTAAATGGTCTTCTTCAAATGAAATACACTGACTTCATTTAAGAGATGAAATTAAGTGTATCTCCTACAATGTCAGTCAACTGAACTAGATCACCATGTGAAGTATTGAAACGTTTTGTAAGATGGTGCTTAGATTCGACTGTTGTGAAATGTGGGAGCACCTTAAGATATGTAGCTTCCACTTCATAAGCTTGATAAAGGAATATAGCTGGGTAATTGGAAAGAAACACATGTGCATTTATTTTATTTGGGATTTCATATTGGAAGAAGAGCAGGAAATGTATTCTTATTATTCTTGGTAAAAACTTTGCATCACAAGGAGTAGGCGTATTTTTATGATTTTGCTTTTCCATCATATCAATTTTACGGCATGAATGCGGAAAAGTCCTATTATTATCAATCCGAGATAATTTAAGCTCTGAATATAGGTGCCTTATACAAACCATTCTTAATTAAAACGATATTTAACATGCCCTCTTGTATTTCAGGGGATACATAAAAGTCAGCCGATTGATTCAGACAGTATCAGTAGTATAAGATAATCCCATCAACTCCCAGTCAATATTTGTGCTATCAAGTACTATACACGCTTTAGATTCAAATGTTATCTATCAAAAATCAAGTGTGTAGAATGGAAATGCGTTTTATTTCAGCTTCTATTTTATCAAAGTTAACATCATTAATCTTCAATTCTCAATAAACTGATGAGTAAAGCTCAAAAACGAACTAAGAAATTTTCATATTTGGGAAGCATTGTGAAAGAGGGGCGAGACTCCAATTTAAGGAGTCGAGCCAAACAGAGAGGCGTTTAGAGATTTCAAGGTTACGGCATCAACTTCAATGCTTAATGCTAACGTACGATCGGTTCACAGGGAATTTTGTACAAAACGTGATAATTGAATGGCTATAACAAATAAAACGGCGGGACTATAAATTGTGGACGAATCAATCAGGTATAAGGTAATAGATCTCGGATTTTAACGCGAAAGCCTTTCACCCACTTGCCTAAATAGATTTCTGGCATTATGGCTGATGTCAGTTCGTGATGAAAATCCCATACATAATTCCTAACTAAGGCTAATTACAACAATTGTTGCGAACTGGATAATAAAAGCACCAGTAACACTGGCTGCAGTCAGGTACTACAATATATACGGATGTTTGGAGAGCGTACAGACTCCTACATAGGCTTAGTTATGTGCATCGTGTCGTTATCCACAAGCAACACTTTGTGCACTCAACAACCGGAGTGCACATAAACAATATTGAAGCTATGTGGTCGAGGCTGAAAGAGTTTTTGAGACTTTATCATAGCTACAGAGACCGACTATTCTGTAACCGTATGGATGATTTCCTCTACTGCATGCATCACGATTTTAGAACCTGTGAACCTCTTTCTAACCTTGACAAGTTTTTGAACCACGTATAAGAAATGTATCCACTTTATTTCCTTGGTTTTGTATTCCATATTTTTACTCTGTACTGACAGTTTGCTGATTGGCTAATGTTTCTCAATGTCGCTTAAGATTCGTTCAAAGGTCGTCCGTAAATCAGTCTCGCCGAAAAAGGTATATATATCTACTTCCGACTTCGTTATCAAAAGTTTTAAAATATTTAGAACGTCAATAAACACTTCTTTCTGTAAAAACTCGGGTTTCCATAAGATGTGGGTATATTTTGAAATCAAAATATTTTGTGAACCACCGTACACCCGAAAAACCATGATATATATTGAAAATTCTAGACTATATTTGACTTAATCACTTCTGTTGTTTTTAAAGGAAATTAATGCCTAACACTAACTCCCGAACGTTGGATAAATAATTTGATATGGGATTTAATGTTAAGCTTGAGCATTAATACTAATGAGGTAAGATTTTTCCCGTTTCTAAATATCATATTATTGTCATGCATCCTATGTTTTCATTTAGGACTGTATAAAATTATTCCACTCGATGTGTTTACTTTTGATTGCAAATTCATTGTTGTAAAATCTAGGCACAAATTAATAGGGTATGTTAATTCATGCTTACATCTCATCAAACTTATATATATATATATATATATATAGTTCTAATGTGGAACTCTTCAGACGTTTTGCAACCTTATTCCCACAAGTAATGGAGCCTAGAAAATTTGTGTTTCGAATAGGCCACCCTAACTCTGGATGGTTGATCGCGTATGCAGTACTTCATATATTTAAATTCAATAAATGCACAATATCCCCAGCCTAAAAGTCCAAGTTTTGATTCGCGCTAAAACCGTGGATGCACACTGTTGTATAGTCCCATAATAAATCAAAATGTCTATCCAGAGATTCCTAGTTCTCTCTGGATTTTCGATCGGGCTCTGTCCGTGATGTGATATACAAAATTTAACAGTCTTTGCAAACGACTCAAAAGTCAGATAGATAACTTGTTCTGTTTTAATAATTTTTAGCCAACATTGTGATTTATCCGTATTTTTTAAAATGTTGAAGTGGGCAGTTATCTAGTTTGTGCAAGAAAAAAACTTTGTAGCGAATCCTTCATCACTGTTCTTACTACCTATTAACTTCGTGAAAAACTACATATCCAGAGAGAAAAATTGCACTCTCTATTACACAAACAAGCAATCAATTGAATGCTTTTAGGACGCTTTACTGTAAAATAAAAAAATGAAAGGTTCTAACAAACTTTATAGTTTAGTGAGTCAAAACCTACGCCCATCATCCCTCATGGAGGAGAATAAGTCGCTCACCAGCACTCTCCATACAAACTTATCCTGGAAATCCTTCCGAATTATTTCCAGTTTTTATTCCCGACTTATTGTGTTTTTTGGCCTTCCACTTATTCGTTTACCTTCAGGATTCCAGGTTAAGGCCTGCCTCTTGATGCATTTTGATGATTTCCGTAATTTATTTCCCATCCTATCTTTTCCTAATTTCGTCCTCAGATGGATGCTGTTTTGTTCGATTTCACAGTAGGCTGTTACTGATGTTATCGGGTTAACAGACATTGAATATCTTACGCAGACGATTGTTTATAAACACTTGTACTTTTTTGATGATAGTTGTAGTAGTTCTCGAAGTTTCAGTTCCGTACAGTAGAACTGTCTTGTTGTCACCTATTTTGGCTATAGGAACCCTAGAACATGTGCAGATTATATATATATATAGCCCACCGTGTTGAAATGTTTATCTATTATTTCACCTGCAACTTACCTACAATTCAACATCTAGTTTAATCATGACTAAATAAGAAAGATTAGTTCAGCGAAGAGTTATCTTTTCGGCGAATATATAATAATACTGATAATAAAATTTTTGTTACACATGATGACAGTGAGATTAAATAAACAAAAGTAATAAAAAGACTTTTTAGAACAATTTACCTGCTCATCTGGAGCTAGGTATATAGGTCGTTTGATGCGTACTTTATCCAAAAGACTTCAAGAACATTATCCGGCGTGGCTCAAAAGAAGAGGCAATGGCTCAATAAGAATTTCAATAATCGAACACCTTGTGAATACAGATCACTCAATTAAGACAGACTCGGCATTCAAAGTCATCTACAAGGTAAGTAGAAGTCTTCCAAAGACAATAAAACTGCATCTTCTTTCCATTGCTCAAGCATTAGCTATACATCTGGAAAAAAACAGATTGATACAACTTCTTCTTCTACCATGATCTTAATGTCCTATAAGTTTTCTTTTCTTTTTTTCTCTTTCTCATACTCTTCATCCTTTACAGCCATCTGCTTCACCTTCCATCTTCTCCTTAAATCTTCTACCCTCAACTGATTTATTTCGGTTTCTACGATACTCCTGATTACATTCAATCTCAATTTCAACATTTTATCTTATCATGCTGAGCCGTTCTTTCCCAATGATAATTTACTTATTTATCATTTGATGAATACATAAACCATTAACAGTCAAATGAATATTAGGTTTTCCTTGTTTAAAAATTGTTCTAATACCTTTGTTTATTAAACCTCACTGTCACCAAATCTAAGAAAAATTTAATTATCAGTATTATTATCATCCTGTAAAATTAAGTATATCTAATTGCGATTGTACAACTTTGAAAATGAATTCACCGAAAACAGAACTCATCACTGAACTATTCTTACTTATTCAATGTCATAATGAATCTATTCCGTTCACTAATCATGAATTAATCAAAACCATCTTATTTAATTGACCTTAAAGAAGAAATAAGAATAAGAATGAGAATAGATACTCATTGTAACAAACATTAATTGACATAGTGATATTTATTTACATTTTTTTAAAAATATTTATTTGTATATAATCAGCTTTATTCACAATAATATCTAGACAACCAGTATTTATGAAGGAACTAACAATAATTGCAAATTATATATATATATATATATATATATATATATATATATATATCCTGTATTTTTATGAATGTAATATGGAAAACCATTTCTTCTAAAGAGTGATTCTATATGAAATAGTTTAAATATCATTTCAAGTACATACTAAGATCTTTAAAATGTGTTAAATGAATGTGTAATAAGAAAGTGAAATATTCAATTTATATATATTTCATATCATTAAGAATATTCTTTATAAACATTCAAATATTACAAACTTATTATTTTATTCATTTTAAACTGTATCACTATGTGTATCACCACTTTCATATGCCCAATTTGTGTCTTGATTATCTCGATTTATATGCGTTGATTGAGGCCATGGTTGTTCAGCAATAAAATTTACAGAATGTAATAGATTTGTTGATTTATCCATTTTTACTATATTTTGATTACAAATAATATTTTTTGGATTAATTATTGTATCACAATAATCATTTGAATTCATTTCAATTTCTTTAGTACTTGAAATTTTATTCATTGAATATTTTGTTTGTAATTTTTGATTATTTTTATTGAATAATTGTTCAAATGTTGACCCGGATATATTACCTATATTTTGCATTATATCTATTGGTACCGGGAAGAATATAGTTGATTTCTTTTCAGCTGATATTGCACATAATGTTTGTAAATATCTTAATTGGAATGCCATTGGTGAAGTAGATATAACTTTTGCAGCTTCTTTTAATGATCTAGCTGCTTCTTGTTCTCCTTTAGCAGCAATCACCTAAAAATGTGTGAAAGGAATAAAAATTATAAAAAATTCAAATTAACTAAGCTTCAACTAATTCATGATCTTAACCATTGAAATTATTACAATTTCCACAAAAAACCCATCTGATATTAATCAACATATGCTCATTAGTGACTGTCTTCACGAGGTATATCCTGGAGTTCTAGTGAGAAGTAGTGACCAGTGGAGTTCAATCAGGTCTGTTGTGAGATAGTAACTCACTGGAAACAATGGTAGATGTGTCGCTCGATTTCATGGATTAGTTGAAGTTAGACATTAACCTCATTGGATACCGGCTCAGTGGTCTAGTGGTTAAGTGCTTGCGCGCGAAACCAGTAGGTCCTGGGTTCAAATCTCGCAGGGGGCGAGGTCGTGGTTGTGCACTGCTGAGGAGTCCCACAATAGGATGAAAAGGCCGTCCAGTGCTTCCAGGTATTCCATATGTTTTAACTAGTCTAGATTGTGGAGATTTTCAAACTTTTAATTTACGTAACGATTCGATATGAACTAGTCAATTATCTAAATCCTGAAAGCCAACTCAGAGAAAGTCAAGTCCTTGCAATGAAGCTTATAGGTTCTGGATTAATGAACGAAAACAGTCGTAGAATCCTATACTAGGACAAAATAACTGGTTACAATTTCCTGATTTCCAGCGATTGTTTGAAAGTCCATATTGTAGACTTAAAAACCTTTCACTTTCATTTGTAAAAGATTGAATTTTTTGTACTTGATATCAAAGAGTGATCAGTCACTTTTTCCTATGCATCTCATGTGACAAAGTTTTGGATCAACATGCGAAAGTACGAAATCCTTAAACTAAACAAAATCAGTGTAGCTATACAAATTTTCATCTGTCTGTGAATTTCAAAACTTGAGACAGATAAATATATATGAATATGCTTGTGCTAAATACGTTACATATTTACAGTATTGTAATTACTGAGGTACATTAGTGAAAGGAAGTAATTCCTTTTTTATTTTAAATACAGTATAATTTAAAACTTAACTGTCGAGTTAGTGAATTTATGAAGTTTCAATTTAATCCAATTATCTCACAAAAAATTGTGAACAACTACACAGTTGATGGCAGATAATACTTTGATGAGAACCATGAGTCATCAAGCAGTCTATAAGATTTTAAGGTGACAATTCTCACCTAGAGAAAGACAAGTTGAGAAAAGCAATATCATTTTCTTATTAATTTCTCGTCACTAATCCACATTAATACGTATATTTTACATCAATAATAGTATAATCAAGACCTCTTTTCGTGACTTATATGGAACTAAGCATTATATTTTCACAGAGCCATGACACGAAACTGACAGTGTCATTATGATTTATAGACGAATTAATCGGAATAAAGATAATAAGGATTGTATTTTGAGTAAAGTACGTTCATTCATATGGTTGAAATGCATTCTTGGAATGTAACTGTTGTCTGGTCCTACTGAAAAACCTAACTTAGGTGGAGTATTGTTCTCTGAGCTGGATGGTTTGGTCGTGGAGCTTTCATCGTTCTTCTGAACGATGAAAGCTCCACGACCAAACCATCCAGCTCAGAGAACAAAACTCCACCAAAATCATCCACCTGAGCTACAAATCTTCTCCACCATCTCAAAAAACCTAACTCTAATTTCTTATTTTAATCGACGGCTCAAGCTTCTATTACTATTTCCTAAGGCTTCTTTGAACTATTAAGAAGTTAAAATTTCGTAATCACTTTTAGAATCTATTAAGTTGGTTCACAAGTATAGTGTCGTCAGTTTGTGTTCCTGTTCAGTGTGCCATATATGATTTTCTTTATCCACTGAACACTAATGGTAAACGTGAAATTAAAGAAATAACATGAATATCAGGTGGAAATCAGTTTTTTTACTGAGTACTATTTAATATCTTGCTCGTTAGAAATAGGGGATTTAAAAAAGTAAGGTTTACATTCAAAATATACTCATAAAATTATAAAATCCAATCAAATTCCTCGTATCTATTTCAGCTCAAATCAACTAAACCAATGCACCAGACAGCATATAAGTCAACGCATCTTACTTTATGATGTATTTTTTTAATTCTAAAGATAATAAAACCTTATATATCTCCCACACAATCTATACACATACCAATTTTCAGTTCCACTACATACATTTCTCATACCAACCTTCTGACGCATAAATTAATACAGTGACAGGTCATACAAATTCACCTCAGCCAAGAAAAATTTGACTTCGACATATTCAAACGTAATAAACTTTTCTATTCTATAAATAATTATCATCCTTTACTCAAAGCTTATCTATAAATAAAGATCTTCTTAACAGAATAGTACATTAGTCTGATCGTGTATAATACAAGTACGTACATATAGCTACGTAACGTTGTCCTCATATAAATTATAGTTATTTCTTATGTTAAGTGAAAATAAAATTGCCTTATGTAGGATAGAAAACTTTTGAAAACAAATAAACAATAGAATATCAATTCGATAAATTTGTACAAAAGTAAGCTCAGAATTGAGTAAAGTGGTGCGATTCATCAATTTGCTTGTAATGATATTCGCTTACTTCATGCCATTCAGAAAAAATGCTTGTGGATTAGTTCGCATGTGTTACGTCATTCCCATATACATATATATAAAGACTAGATTAATCATAACTTCTTTTCCTTAAAAATATTTGACAAACGATTGAATTAAATTAACACAATTGAAGATGTAATGCAAAGATTCCTAGTAGTAATCTCAACAATATGTTTGTTGAATATGCGGTTATTCCTTTCCACAATCAAAGTTAAAGCAACAAATTATATAATAAATATTAAATAAAAACAATGAACAATGATAAATGTAATCAGTTGTTTGACTCAGTCTATTCACCATATTGAAAGTTAAACAAAATATTTGATTTTTAATTAAATTAGAAATGACCTAGAAACTATTTTTTTTCAGAATCAGTATGTGAAATGTGTTAACTTTAAACAAACTGATTTCTAAAGTAAATTTTAAATTCAATAGTCGTATATTTGGTTAGACTCTAATTTATGAACGAGCCAATCAGAGAGGCTTTTAGAGCACTTTGTGCACTCAACAACCGGAGTGCACATAAACAATATTGAAGCTATGTTGTCGAGGCTGAAAGAGTTTTCGAGACTTTATCATAGCTACAGAGACCGACTATTCTGTAACCGTATGGATGATTTCCTCTACTGCATGCATCACGATTTTAGAACCTGTGAACCTCTTTCTAACCTTGACAAGTTTTTGAACCACGTATAAGAAATGTATCCACTTTATTTCCTTGGTTTTGTATTCCATATTTTTACTCTGTACTGACAGTTTGCTGATTGGCTAATGTTTCTCAATGTCGCTTAAGATTCGTTCAAAGGTCGTCCATAAATTAGAGTCTCGCCGTATACTCGTTGGGATTTGGAAACTAGTCAGCAAGTCAGCGTCACTAATAGTCAGCGGATCAAAGTTAAGGCATACTTAGAATATCAGAATATTAAAGTAATCTCTGATTCTGTCCAAATTCTGTTTACTAATATAAAATGTCTTGTAAATATTTTAAAATGAATGTATTTCGTTGTAATTCTTAGTACCCAAAATACGTCAGTGATCTCACACTCGTATCATCATCATGTCGCAACAAATCATGTTTCTCAACAAAATCAAGTAATGTGAAGTAAATAATAGCTTACTTTAGCACGAGCTTCACGAGCAGCTTCAGCTTCTGCTGCCATTGCACGTTGAAGTTGGATAGGAAGGCGGACATCTTTGATTTCAATTCTTTCAACCTATAAATTATTTAAAAGATAGAAGAGAACATAATGGATTAGCTTATTAGAATAAAATTAACACTTTCGTACCCAAAGAACAGCATATATATGTGAAACTAAACCAAATGAGTCATGGCTCGACTTATTGACATGTATACTTAAATTTCCACTGTTTACCGAGAAGACAATTCTGTATAAAATTATGATTTAATTTGAAAAGATTCTAGTCGTCCTGATAGTTCCGAATCAAATTATTTACATGTAGTTAGTTTGCATTTTTGATATCGTTCAATGTTCTAGATAAAGTCACTTTAAACCATATGACACAATAATTGTAATAAGTTTCTTTACGATTTAAAAGAAACTCATATATAGAAGTCATGACGAACTGGTATATACAGTCAGTCACATCATGATTATCGAATTATTGTTAAGACGACTTTGTAACGACTTAGCATAATAAACTGATTGCCACTAGATATTTTTATTTCGTAGCATGTGTACTAAAGTATGAATTTCAGTGAAAAGTTGGTCACTGAACTAATTTTAAGAATGTTTCTACTATTTTTCTGTTTTTTGCTAATATGAATGAAATTTTTTTACAAATATAGTTATGTGACTGAATGGATCAAAAATATAATTAAAAGTCTTTCCACTAGTTTCAAACATAATACACAACTAAACTAAATATGTTTCAAATAAATGCATATATATATAAACATAATGGAACCTGGGTACGTTGCAAACAAATGGGGTGAAGATCTTTTTAGAATGCTTCCTAGAGTTCTTTCTCTAGATACATTCCATCCGTCTATATCAACAGGTAATCATGGGGTTAGACAAAAATTTAGCATTTCAAATTAATCCAACGTCACTTTTACTCACATGAATCGGAGGATATTTATATCTAGTACATAATACAATACTCTAATCCAAGATCAAAATCTTTGGATGCTATAAGACTCAGATATATATAATGAATAGCATAGTTTTACAATATGATAAATTTTCATTAACAACCATCTGGTAAAAATTTCTGAACAAAGCATTTCATAGATTTAAGATACATGACATTAAAATTGATTTCAATTCAGTATTCTTTGTAATGTAACACGATATTTTTCATATGATCATCTAGCTAATAGAGACAAATTAATTATATATTAGTTTCATGACCAGCATTAAGGATTATGCATTTTGCATTTCACTCAATAACAACTCTTTGACAGTATAAGCTACTTATTTCGAAAATAATTAAAGTTTATAAAGCGAGATCTACTTTACTTATTAATAATAATAAAAGTGTAAAGAAAGCTGTGATCAAGATTTTGAAACCGTCTGTTATTGTGCTCATCGTTTCGTCTTACTAGTAATAATATATAACAGAAAAATAAAAGATTAAAGTCAAATAAGTTGATTGTTTCTTTTTTGAAATTCTAACTAAAGAGTACATTCAGCTGACGAGTCTCAAGTAGGACGAAACGCGCGTCCTGGATTCCACTGCTAGCCATTATATAAAGTGTTCTTGTTTCAAATAGAAATGTACTATTCAAAAACGAGTTATATAATTCAGTAAATTACGTATACAATTTGATAAAAATTGAATGATAAGAATATTTTATTTAAATAGAAACCTTCTTGTTTCCAATGTCTAGATAATACTCTTTAAAATAATGTCAATTAATTTAATCAATCCTAATTTTGTGGGCGAAATTACATCAAAATAACATTGTGTCAGCTAAACTACCTTCAAACATGAAAACAAACAAACAATACTATTTTATTATATAAATTAATGTAGTTCTTTATTCATTCTATTTCATTCTCTGTATTGATTATCTTTATTCAATACTTTCTCTATCTAAAAAAATAATCAATAACTGTCCATAATTTTATATAAGCAAATTAAAATGTCATTATGTCTACTGTGATTAAAGTATTACTTATTCGATAGAGAATATAAATTAAGGTCAAATTACTTGGTGATGGTGACCTATTGAAAGTAAGTTGTTATTTTTTTAATATAAATTTGATAAATTCTAAAAAACATAATTTATTTCTACATAAGTAATGGCGGAAACTAAATTTTGATTTTGATTCACATATTATTCTTATTGTTCCGTTATACAATTTAAACTTGGATTAATTTTAATTTGGTTATTTATTCTCTGAAGAATTGGCTTACACTAAGTCACGAAACGTCAGAAAATCTAATTTTTCTACTCATTAGGATATTAGAAATATACTATTTATTTATTGCGGAAACTGAATCTTACTTAATAGATGAGATATATAATTAATATAATATTATCATAAATGTATAACTAACATTTAGTTCAATGAAATGTTCTAAGTTATTAATGAATTAGTAAAATAATCTTTAAAGATAACAAATAAATACGGGATTAATATCCAAAATGATAAAAAATTTCAAAATTCTAACAATTTATAAATATCTCAATCACTAATACAAATATTACTCATGTTAAGAACGAATAGTTTGACAGAATTTGGGCGCCAAGTATAGAGAAGACATTTTTATATGATGAGTTTGATGTTGTTTATTATCCTGAAGAAGTTCAGACAAGTTAACTGGACGAAACATTGGAATTATTTTAAATTTCAACAGCTGAAATTAGTTCAAATATAGTTCTCACATAAAAATATCTAAATCGCTGTTGATAATCTACATTACATTTAAGATTAAACAATAATTCAATAATAAATAACAAATTTCGTCTAAATTTGATCGAATAATTTCACAGTATTTGGGCTCCGAGTTGATGCGCAGCATTAAAAAAGAAGAATGCATTTGTAAAGTCTCATCAGAAGAATTTGAACTAAATCCAAAGAAATATATTTCTTTGAATAAAGCTTGTACCAAATAGTCAGGCAAAACGTTGAATTTACTTCAACCTCTTTCTCTGAGATTATACAAATACATTCTTCCTTTTTAATAATTTATTAAGATTGATTCAATTAGTTTTTCTTGTTTATTATAACTATTTAATTCAAAGAATAAAATAATGACGAAATATTCAATACAATTAATCATTTATTTAAAATAAATTAATTTATCATCTAATAGGTCCTGGGATCGAATCTCGCGAAGTGCGAGATCGTGGATGCGCGCTGTTGAAGAGTCCCATACTGGGATGAAACGGCCGTCCAGTGCTTCCAGGTTTTCCATGGTGGTCTAGCTTCAATCGACTCATGATTTCAATCTGTGAAATTTCTAAAATCTCCACAAAACTCATTCCGATAATAATTATTTGCTCACTAGTGGCTGAATTTAGGAAATACTCCCGGAGTTCTAGTGAGAAGTCGTTACCAGTGGAGTTCAACTAGGTCTGTTGTAATCTATATTTATCTATTAAAACTTTGATAAATAATTAGATAATTATTTACATCATAATAAATTACTATATAGATTTATAAAAATAAATCCCTTCATTTATTCACTATAATTAAGATGAAATAAGTCTAGTTCATATTCATGTAACTCTAAAACAGAAACATTTATTTATTTTGCTGTTGTTGTTTTGTTTATAGTTAAGTCCATCATAATATTCTTTATAGGCTTCAATTATTATATTTATCACTAATGAAATAGTGTTGTTTACATTATTAACACCTTTATTGGTAACTTATTACGATAATTGACTAGGTAATCAATTAATTATTGATAATTTGATTTTAAGAAAATATAAACAATTTTAAATCAAATTAAAGTAAAAACATTTTGGTTTTTAGTTTAAATTTGAATTTTTTTAAAAAGACAATAAAATTGTGAACGTTGCCATGGTTACTAAAATAAATCATTCTTTCAATTTCGAATAGTGATTATTATAAAGATATTTTCTAGCTATTTATTATTTTGTTTGTTACATTGAATCATTGATTGGATAATGACTCAAGCTTACTTCACATTTAAAAGTACTAAATTGCTCTAATTGTCAGAATGTAGATTTTTATAGAGTTTATTTAGTTTGAGTTAAATGGTGTTAATCTTGAAGCGTTTAATGTCGTTCTAGACAATGTCATCAGATGGTAGTTATTAGAATTTCAATATAATTAACTAACAGCTTTTCCTATTAAAATGGGATTTGGTAGATTTTTGTCTATGACTAATCTTCTGTCCACATATATCTTCGTAAAACTAATCAAAGCAAATAAACAATGAGTGTCGTTGCTACTATCAGTGTTTTCAAAATTCAAAGAAACTGACAACTCCACATCGGAAACTAATGAGATAAGTAACAAAGCCATATACTGCATTAGTCATATGTGATGATTACCATAGCAGAATATGAGAAAATTTCAAATATTCGTGAATTTTTAGTTGCTAAGCCACAGAGATAACAAATATTTGACAAGACTGGTTAACTATTTAATGGTAGTCTTAATCTTATTATTTTCATGGCTTCAGTTAGACAATAAATATAGAAATTTATATATTCATGATATGAATAAAATACTTTTATGCATTTGGTAGGAATTTAAATTTGTTGAATGAAATTGGTAAGTGTACTCATAATCTCTATAAAGTGTAGTTTAGAACTGATACATTTACAATATTTATTTTGCAATTTTCATCCAGTATACTTATACCCTTAGACTTCGCAGATGATCTGGCACTCCTATCGCACACGCAGCAACAAATGCAGGAGAAAACGACCAGTGTAGCATCAGCCTCAGCAGCAGTAAGTCTCAATATAGACAAAGGGAAAAGCAAGGTTCTCCGATACAACACAGAATGCACCGACCCAATCACAATTGACGGAGAAGATTTGGAAGATGTGAAAACCTTTACATATTTGAGCAGCATCATTGATGAACAGGGTGGATCTGATGCAGATGTGAAGGCGCGGATCGGCTAAGCAAGAGCAGCATATTTACAACTGAAGAACATCTGGTACTCGAAACAACTCTCAACCAACACCGAGGTCAGGATTTTCAATACAAATGTCAAGACGGTTCTACTGTATGGGGCAGGTATCTACCTCAGTACAATGGAA